TCGCCCGGTTCCGATCCAAATCATAGTTTCTTAGGATGCGCTTGCGCGAATGTGAGCGCGCGGGCAAGTAACGCGTGCGCGCTTGGCGCAGCCTGGGAAATCCAACATGGAGCCCCCCGGGGGCGCGGGGCGCCGGCGACGCCTCCGCCCGCCTCCCGCGCGCCCGACCCCCCCCGCAAGCCGACTCCTCCTACTGGGGCCTGCCCCGCGCGGCCGGGGCGCCGGGCGGCAGCGCGCGTGTCAAGCAGTGGCGAAGCGTCCCGGCTCGCCTCTAGCCCTACCAAACAATGTTCTAAGAACCTTTTGGGGTTCCCACGAAATGCTCTCAGAACAGTTCTGGCGGAGTCTGTCTTGTTTGAGCACATAGGGTTTATGGTATAAGAAGATTGTTGTTGTTCTTAGAACATTTTTGGGTTCTAAGCACGATTCGTGGTAGGACTATAGGACTGCCAGGACGGTCGGTCCCTGCTCAAGCCGGCTCGCTGCGCAGGGGTCAGCAAGTGGGAGCGCGTGGCCAAAGCATGCGAGGAGGAGGAGGAGGAAGAGGAGGAGGAGGAGGAGGAGGAGGAGGAGGAGGACCCAGACATCGGGCGTCTCGGAGAAGTCGAGGCGGAGCTCCATCGCAGTTTTTGGGCCTCTCGGGGCCCTCGCCCGGCCTCGGGGCCGGCCAAAAACGACTCGGGATGAGAAACCGGTCCCGGGGAAGTGGTCGGTTGGTCGGGGGCCCGCGTCTCGAAGAAATCGAGACGTCGGATGTCTGGGGAGGAGGAGGAGGAGGAGGAGGAGGAGGAGGAGGAGAAGAAGGAGGAAGAGGACTGGGAGGAGAAAGGGGAGGACAACGACAATGCGGGGGGACGCAGGCACTTCTGGTCTCGGTTGCCCCCGCTTTCGGGGGGCGTCGGGGGCGTCGTAAACGGGGGCGACGTCCTCCTCCTTGCCCTTGTCCTTGCCCTCGTCCTTCCTCCTCGTACGGGCTTGGCACGGGGACGGCTACGATGGATGATGGCGGAGGACAATCGAGGTTAGGGTTGAAGAACGCGGAACGAGGAAGGAGCAGAGGAGGGAGGAGGAGGAGGAGGAAGACGACGAAGCAGTCAATTTCTTTTCATCGTGGCCCTCAGGAGTGGCGGCGTGCACGACGGGTGTTGCAAGTCGACCAGCTGGAGCCCGAGGCGTCGGGTTGCATGGGGAAGTTAGGCCGCCAGTCCAACCCTTGGTAGATGCTCTGCCTGTATGCCTTCCTGGCGAGGTCAGGATGGCATGCATTTCGCGCGAATTGGTAGATCGACCACTTCATTGCGGTGCGCTCATTGATCTGCATGTCCGTCTTCATTACCCTCATCCGTTGTGCCTCCTACTTGTCTCGGGCTGGGCGAAAGGGGGGGATTGGGAAAGGGGGGGTTACGAAATCTGTTGCATGCAGCTGGTCTCGGCCCCGCCGAGGGGCCCATTCCTCGATACATGGGCGCCTCCGGCGCCGGGAGGCGCCGGGAAAATCAGCTACCTGAGCCGACTCTCAAACCCCCCCTTTGCTATCCCCCCCTTTCGCCCGACCCGATTGTCGGAGGAGTCTCTAGTTAGGCCGGTTAGAATTCCGTCCGTTCGTATCCTCCCCGATTGTATGACAGCAGGCGGAGGCGGGCAAGATACACATTGGGTAGGATGCAGTCCCGAGGTCAAATGATGATAGACGTTGGCCGACGGTCGCTTGCTTTGCGTCGCGTCAGCGGGGAAGATGGGGATTAGGAATAGGGGAGGAGGAGGAAGAGGAGGAGGAAGAGCAGGAGGAGGAGGAGGAGGAAGAGGAAACGAGGTGCATAGAACACCCAGCATTCATCACCCGTACTACACAAAAGCCGATGATACCCTTGATCGACGTGGTGTGCGCCCGCTGGAAGGGTGCAGGACCCGATGCCCCCCGCCAAAAAATCCTCCCTCCTGCTCTCCTCCCCCCCACCCCTCCCTCGTCCCTCTTCACCCCTCCCTCCCCCCTCCCCCCTCATTCTCCCCCTCCCTCCCGTCTCGCCCCCCTCCCTCCTCCGTCCTTCCTGCCACCCCCCCTCCCGCCCCTCCCTCCCCCTGCCCCCCGCCCATCCCTTTGTCCTCTGCCGTAAGTTCTTCTTTTTCCTCGTATCTTCTCCTTATCTGTCGCCACGCAGGATGATGTGGAGGAGCAGGTCCTCCGTCTCCCCATCCACGGATGAGGAGGAATAATATCGGAGGAGGAGAAGTAGGAGGAGGAGGAAAAGGTGGAGTTGGACCAGGCGGAGCAGAAGGAGGAGGAGGAGGAGGAGGAGGAGGAGGAGGAGGAGAAGGAAGAGGAGGGGGAGGGGGAGGGGGAGGGAGAGGAGGGGGTGGTCTCGTCCACCCTCCGCCCTTCCATCCTCCATCCTCCCCCGTCGCGCCCCGAGTTATGCCAGGTGAAGAGCGAGGTGATTTCCGTGGCTGGCGGAGGCGAGGTGCCGAAGGAGAGCTGCCTCGCGAGGTGCCCACTTCCATATTCGGTTGTCTATGCGTTTCTGTTGTAGTGTTTGCCTTTATGACTCCCTATGTCCTGACGTCGGGGTTCCTGTTGTTCGATCCCGTCTCCTCACACTCCCGCCTATCCTTCCACAACTAGACTCGCTCACCCACTCGTGGCCAGGCCCGATCACATTCAGACTCACTCGCACTCGGCCCACACACACACACTCTCCCTCTCCCTCACTCACTCACAATCACGGATAACGCCCACACACAGGCGGATTCATACCCAGGTCAGCCGCATACCCATACTCGTACACTCGACATGCATACCATTCAGCATATCTCAAATCAGTTTCATCCATTATCACCATTTGTAGTCAGGCCCACTCACGCTCAGACTCACACGCACGCAGTCTGTCGGATTCGGACCACACGCGCCCAGATTCGCTCATACCCAGCTTAGTCATTTTCCGACACGCAGACCGCTCTAGTTCAGACGTGCCCACATTCTGCCACCCATGTTCACACCTATTCATACGCGCTCTTCTTACTCAGGCTGGCTCATGATCACCGCGATGCAGCAGGCGTAGCATTTGGATGCCTCAAGGGTGGGGCCGCCAAGGGGCATACCACTCTCCAGTTCTAGTTCGGGCTGAGGGGATGTCCTGGGTGAGGCGCTCGTTTTGCCAGTGGTGCAGTGGAGCAGTCTCTTTTCGTACCTCCATGGTTACCGCGATGTGCAGGTATAGCATTTGGGCACTGCTTGGACTGTGAGGAAGGTGTCTGGAGCGGGGCGCTCGTTTGGCCCAGTGAGCGCGTCCCTTTTCAGAGACCCACGGTCACAGTGCGATTGGGCACCACAAGGGGGTGTCGCGGGGGGGCATATGACAGGCCCGTTCGCGCTCAGACTGTGGAGATGCCTCGAGAATGGTGCTCGTTTGGCCCAGAGGACGAGTCTCTTCTCAGAGCCCCACTGTCTTCGCGATGCAGCAGGCATGGCATTGGGTCGCCCCAATCGGGAGCGGGCACCCCAATGGGGAGCCGCCATGGGGTTTTATTAGGGGAACGAACAATGCCATAAACATAAAACAACTCGGAGGTCAGCGCGGATTTCTCGGATCGGCGTTGGGGCCCCCTGGCGGCGCCTCCAACGCCGCCCCTGGCTGGCTCCGCGCGCCAGGGAGGGGGGTCCAGCGCGGATCCGAGAACTCCGCGCGGACCTCCGAGTTTTCCATGTTTCTGCCATTTTTCGTTTCCTTCGTTGCACCTGCCCGTTCGCGCTCTGGCTGCGGGGATGTTTCGGGCGATGCGCTGTTTCTGGCACCGTGATCATCGCGATGTACCGTAGACACGCTGACGGCGATGTAGGTAACGGCGATGTAGGTTCCGGAACTGTGGGAACGCGCGTCTCGTGCGAAGTCGGGCCTGTCCCTCTACAGGAGGGATATTCAAAAATAGTTTAAAAATAGTAAGGGGACGTTTTTTTATACGTTTTGGTATATTTTCCTAGCATGTGTTGCGTATTTTTATTTTTTCCTCCAAGGTCCCCCTGAAGGGGGGTCCAGGCCCAACCGAAGTCTCGCGCTCTCCTACAGTTCGCGGTGCCGCTTCCGTTTGGTACACCTGCGGATGGGAAATGCAGAAAACGTTTGGTTCGTGATGCTGCAGGCCGTTCGGCGGGGCGGCCGGGGCGACCGCACCGCCCTCCCGCGCTCCAAGGCTGCTCCTGCTGCCCCCCCAAAGCCCCCTCCTCCTCCTCCTCCTCCTCCTCCCTCCTCCTCCTCCTCCTCCTCCTCCTCCCCTCCTCCTCCTCCTCCTCCCCCTCCCCCTCCTCCTCCTCCTCCTCCTCCTCCTCCTCCTTCTCCTCCTCCTCCTCCTCCTCCTCCTCCTCCTCCTCCTCCTCCCCTCCTCCTCCTCCTCCTCCTCCTCCTCCTCCTCCTCCACGTTGGTTCCTGACATCACGGTTAAGCAGCCTCGCTGTTGGCGTGGCCTCGGATGCGGCAGGCACTGCAGTGTCGGGGCCCGCTGGCGGGGGGGGAGCCGCCGGGGAGCGCGCGCTCTCTCTCTCTCTCTCGGTCAAGCGCAAGGACGCTCCCTCGCCGGCGCTCGGCTGTGTGCCAGGAGAGGGGATTCGACTACACGTAATCGTGACTTTTCGCCGGAGTGACCTTTGGTGCGGGCTCATCGGGCTCCCCCCGATCGCCGAGCGCGATGCGATAGAAGCGGCCCGCGCCCTTGGGTTTGGCTCTCTCGCGCCCCCAAAAGCTGCGCACCAAAGGTCACTCTTACCCAGGGTCACTCTTACGCCTAGCCGAGGGATGCACACATGGGGAAAGGGGATGCACACATGGGGATACGGCAGGTTCGCGTCGTGTCGACCGGCGGTGAAGCTTGAACGCCGTTTGTGGCCCAGAATCGGCCCATCTTTGAACGATCCTGCCTCTCTGAAAGGGCCGATCGTTCCAGCTTGAACGATCCCCGCGGTGTCAGGAACCAACGCCAGGGTCGACACCACGCGAACCTGCCGTACGCACATGGGGATCCCCGGCCACTCGCACATTTGGTGCTCGCACTGTCGATGCTCAGCTCTGCAAGGGCTCTGCAGCGTCGCCCGCACCGTGCTTCTGCACCTGTCCGGGCTCCGTGGCTGCGTGCACGCCCTCCTGAGCTCAGCTGCGCTCCTGCTCTTGTGGACACTGCGCAGGCCTGGCGAAAACTTGAGAGGTCCCTTCCAATGTGTACCCATCGGTCGTTGAAAGTAGGCATTTTTGGATTCCGAGATTCCTATCTGATTTAAAGCGCCTTTCTGTTTCAATGATCGAGCGGCCTCACCTCTTCCGTCCTCTTTGGGGGGCGGGCGGACACCCGATCTATTTGCAACGCCTTCTTACTTCATGTGCCCACCTACTTCTTCCGACCGATTGGTACACATATCGGGATCTCCGCGTCGAGTATTTGATCTGATATGCTATATACACACGTGAATGCCCCTCTGGAGATCTTCAGAGCTCTCCGGATGCAACCAGAGATCTTAAGAGTTATTTGGACCCCACAAGAGGCTTCTGGAGGTCAAATGGCTCGGATTCTCGATTCTCGGACTTTGGTCGAGTGGTCGAGGACGACGGCGTCGACGGACGGATGATGGGGGAGGGATGATGGGATGGATTATGAGAAGGAGGAGGAATTGGAAGAGAAGCCAAGTAGTCTGCCTAGAGCCCTACATAATGCCCTACGTAAGTCCTATGCTCCTCATTCTCCTTCGCCCCCTCATCCTCTTCTCTCCCTCTCATCCATCCTCCTCCTCCTGCTACTTCCTTCTCACTTCTCACTCCCTCCCTTTTCCATCCTCCTCCACCTCCCTTTTCCTCCCTGCTTGCTCCCTCTTCTCTCTTCCTTGTGCGCTCCTCATGCTGCTCCTTCTCTTCCGCCTCCCGGTGCCTCCTCCTCCTCTTCCCTCCCTTCCTCGCCTCGTTCTTGTCGTCCTCGCTTCGACCTCCTCTCCTCGCCCTCATTTTCTTCGTCGTCGTCGTCGGTGCCGTCGGTGTCGTCCTTTTCCTCGCAGTAGGGAGCAGGCAAGGAAGCAGGCGACATGTTGAGGGAGGATGACTCTCAGCCGCTGTCATCGCCTTTTTGTGCTTGAAGTTGATAGATCGATCCATTGTCTAACTGATTGGCTGACTGGCTGACTGCCAGGGAGAAGGAGGGTGTGTTGGTGAGGGGCGAGAGACCAGCGCCGCCGAGGTACCATGGCTTGGCTGGTTGGCAGCTCGACGCTGAGAACGCCCGGGAGATCACCGGATCGTACTCCCCCGGTGACGACGCACAGGGACATCCACTGGCGAAAGCTGACCCGGGCGGGGCATTCCTGTCGACGACGTCGCCGACGACGTCGCCGAGGCGCCAGGCGAGCGCCTCGCCTCTGCCAGTCGTCAGCGCCCCCTTGAAGCGCCAGCGCGTAAGAGTGCGGCACGCGCTTTTTATTTGCGTGTGCGTGCGCGTGTGCACACGCGCGCGCGTGTGTGTGTGTGTGTGTGTGTGTGTGTGTGTGGGTGTCTGTGGTTGCGCGTGTGTGTGTGTGTGTGTGTGCGTTTGTGTGTGTTGTTGGGGGAGAGATCAAGCGACAGCTCAACAAAAAGAGCGTATGGGTATTACGTGTTCGCTTCGCAGATACGAATCGCTAATCCATGTTTGCGGTTGTAAAGAAATGTGCCCGCTGTTATGTAAGCATGTTTGTCGTGTTCTTGTTAGAGAAACAACACAATAAGCTTGCTGGTATATATATATATATATATACACATGTATATATATATATATATATATATATATATATATTGGAGAGGCCTGACGGCCGGTGCCGCCGACCCTGATCGAAAGGGCTAGGAGTGGGGGGAGGAAGCGGAGTATGAGGAGGAGGAGGAGGAGGAGGAGGAGGAGGAGGAGGAGGAAATGCATCCTCTGTGTGCCCGCTCGAAGAAAGTGCGCACTGGAGGTGTGATTTTCTGACTTGGGACGTGCTCCGGGAAGAGGAAGAAGTGCATCTCGGGCGTGCCCGCTTGAGGAAAATGCGCCCTAATTCGGGGGGTGGTATTTTGACTCCGGGCCCGCTCCCGGGACGCCTCTGCGGGAGGAGGAGGAGGAGGAGGAGGAAAAGGAGGAGAGGAGCAGGAGGAGGAGGAGGAGGAAAAGGAGGAGGAGGACCAGGAGGAGGAGGAAGTGCATCCCGTGCGTGCCCGCTAGAGGAAAGTGCGCCCCGGCGGGCGTCGTATCTGCCCCGGCCCCCCCCCCCCTCCCCCCCCCCCTGCGGGGAAGGGATCAAAGGGAAGGGGCTTCCCTTCGACTCCACTACGACGTCGTTTAATTTCGCTTTGGCTAGCGCGCTTGAGGAGGAGAGCCCTGGAAGGGGGAGAGCGGAGACGACGGAGACGACGAGTCGAACGGAGAAGCTCCTCACACACGCCGACAGGGTCGGCGGATATTGGTTCTTTGTCAGAAAAGTTCGTTTTCAACTGGATGTCGCCGTGGGATCTGGGAACCTCGTCGCAACGGGAGGGCACACGGCCACGACGGCAGTGGGCTCAACCAGGGAGGGAGCAAAGACGTCATCCGTGAACGGGCTGCGCGGATATGCACTTCAAGTTGCACGGGTGCCCGCAGCCAGGAATGACCGTGCGGTCTGCGCGGGGCCACGGCGCTCGTGTTACTGCGCGAGGGCGCGGATCGAACCATACAGTCAACCCGATGGGCAACCTTCTCAAGGGCACACTTGCATCCTTGCCTCCTCGGTCCATCCTTCGCCGCTTTCGCTGGCCACGCCCCGCTCGACGAACTTCGACATGGGCGTCAAGGCCCTTGCATCCTTCTTGCGCATCCTTGCTATACGGGTTGACTGTACTGTTCCAAGTGAGCTCCGAATTGCCTCGAGGGGGGCCAGGGCCTCCGACGCCACTGGTTCGTGTGTCTGTGTGTTGTCTTTCGGTTCGCCTCCCCCGCGTCGGCGCCGCTGTCCGGCGCCGCCGTCTCCGTCTTCAGATGCCGCCTCGATCTGCTCCCTCCTCGCTCTTCCCAGGGCGGGATGTGCGGTCGATCCACGGCGGTCCCGCGTCCGAGGGCTGGGCCGCGCGCGCGCGCGCTCGCGCGGACTGCTCGGCTTGCTCCGCCCCGTCGCCGCGCGCGGGACGCGGCCGCGCAAAAGTGGCTGCTGCCTCTCGCCGAGCGCGTTCCACCACTCGCAAAGTACCTGCTCGCAAACGTCCGAAAACATGATGGACCCACGAACCCGGAAAAAGGATCTAGAAGCGCATGCGTGGAAACGTTTTCACGACACCGTATTGGGCGACGGGCACTTCCACGAGACACCCCGCGAAACATTCCACGAGATACGGGCGACCGTTTCAACGTTTTCCTGGAAACATTCCACGAGACACCCCGCGAAACAGTCCACGAGGCATCCCACGAAACATTCCACGACGACAGGCAACCACTCAACCAAGGCGGTGTGGTCGTGCTGGGAAGTGGTCGTGGTGGGGTGTGGTCGTCCTGGGGGGTGGTCGTACTGGGGGGTGGTCGTGCTGGGGGGGTAGTCGTGCTGGGGGGTGGTCGGGCTGGGGCGTCGTCGTGCTGGGGCGTGGTCGTGCTGGGGCGTGGTCAAGTTCTACAAAACAAGCGATTCGCTCGAGACATGCTCGGTAACTCTGCGGAGCAAGCGTTTCGCTCGAGACATCCTCAACACACGAAAGAGTGGCCCGCACCCTGTGATTTATCGATCGGGATTTCAAAAACAAGCGTTTCGCCTGAGACATCCTCAAATTTGAATCCGCCGGCCCACCTCGACCTCGATATTTATCAGGGAAAGAATCCGCCGGCCCACCTCAGTTGAGGCACCGGGGACAGATTACCATCCTAAAAGAGAACCCTGGGTCTACGCCCTTTCCGGGTAAAAACACTTGTCTGCTTTGATGCAACTTATCGTTGATCCCCCGCGGGGGGTCCAGGCCGTTTGCGACTAGTTACTTTGCGAGTAGTGGAGCTAGGGGAACCAACAATGACATGAACATAAAAACTCGGAGGTCCGCGCGGATTTCTCGGATCGGCGCTGGGCCCCCCTCCCTGGCGCTCAGAGCGCGCCAGGGTCCGCGCCGGAGGCGCCGCCGGGGGGCCCCAGCGCCGATCCGAGAAATCCGCGCGGACCTCCGAGTTTTTATGTTCATGTCATTGTTCGTTCCCCTAGGAACGCGCTCGTCGAATCTCTCTCGCTTTCTCTCTTTCTGCTGGCTCCGTACCTCCTCTTGGCGGTCGCAGTGCTGCATGCCGCGGCCCCGGCCGGCCCGCCGCGTGCCTCGCTGGGCGCCCGTGCCCCGCACGGTCCTGCGTTTGGTCACCCAGCCGCGCACCCCCCCGGCCGAACAGATCGTTTTCGTTTCCTTTTCCACCTCGATCCCCCCCCGATCCTCGCGTTGCAATTTTCTCGCAGCGGGCGTCTTCGCCCGGTTTCGGGCCCCCGGGACCCTGGCATATGAACCTGGCTCGGAACAGTGACTCCAAACGACAGGGTGTAGGGCTCGGGTCGTGATCTTTCCAGATGTCGCTCGCAACGTCAGATTTGAGGGCCCCTCCTCATTTTTCCTGTTTCCTGCCTTCCTTTTTTCTTTCGTCCCGTCCTCCTTCCTCCGTCACCTTCTTCCTCCGTGCTCACCCCGCCCTGTTTCTTTGTTCCTCCTCCTCCCTCTCCTCATTCTTTCCTTCCCCTTCGCGCCGGGCGAGCAGAGCTCACCCCCCCACCCCGCAGTCTGGGCAGACCCGGGCCTCGCTGCGCGGCGTGACGCGGAAGATGCTGCAGGGGGCGAAGGTGGCCTTCGCTTTCGACAGGACGTCGACGGTGAGGCCGAGGGCTGCAGGAGGACGGACGGAGGAGGGGGAGGAGGAGGAGGAGGAAGCGGAGGAGGAGGAGGAGGAGGTGGAGGAGGAGGACCAGTGGTAACAGTGGTAACCCACGCGCACCAACGATGTTGAAATACACTGTCCTTCCAAGGTCCGATCTCTTCATCGGCCCCTACAAGGAGTTATTGTCACTGCGGGAAATGTCTACAGGATGCCAACCGTCTCAGAACCTTCAATCGTGAAAGGACAACGTACCTGGGATTCAATACCGCAAGTCATCATGACGGTTGCCTCCTGGCAGTCGTACCTCGTGCCAGAACACCGATCGTGTGGCGTCCACGCTGCGAATCAACTTGAATGCTGCGTTTTGACAGTCTTGAACCGTGCCATAATGCGACTTCTTGAAACTAAAGTGCGGCGTGAAGGCTATACTCACATTTAGAACATGAGCCGCTCTCTCCATTTTTTCAACTGGTGCAGACTTTTTTCACACGAATGTGCGCGGCGAACAGGCGATAGCCACATGTTGAAGACGGCCCGTCCTCCATTCTCGAAACGGCTGCGTACTTGTAAGACGAATGTGCGCGGCGCTAAGGCGAGAACCACATCTTGAAAATGATCAGTCCTCAATCCTTGACACTCTTGCAATTTCAAGCTTCAGGGTTCATAGTGGCAAGGAAGTCTCAGGCGAATCTCGGGCCTTCTTTGGTAGGACAAATAATGGCGTGACAGGGGGGCGGCGGGGGGGAGGAAGATGGGGAGGAGGCAGAGGGAAGAGGAAGAGGATGAGGGAGGCGCGGCGGGGAGAGGGGGACGATTAGAAGCCCAGCAGAGAGGGGAGAGACGAGGGAGGATGAGGGAAGCGGTTGAAGGAATCCCACCCTCCCCAGTCAGCACAATGATTTTGTTAGCAGGTGGAAGATGGAGGTGGGGGAGGAACATGGGGAGGGACGAAAGGACGATGCTGTTGGTGATGATGACGATGTTGATGCTGATGCTGAGGATTATAATGATGATGATGCTTAGGATGCTGATGCTGATACTGATGATGTTGATCATGATGATTAGACATATGGTGATAATGATGGTGATGATGGTGGTGATGGGGATGTTGATGGTGATGATTGTACTGGTGATGGTGCTGGTGATTCTGCTGATGATGCTGCTGATGATGACTATGATGGCGACACGGATGCTTATCATTACGCCATAGGTACAGCTATACTTGTACATGCATATTGTGATCATTTTGCTGATGATGATGCTTATGGTGATGCTGATGCTGATGCTGATGCTGATGCTGCTGTCGATGCTGCTCATGATGCTTCTGCTGCTGCTGCTGCTGCTGATGATGATGATGATGCTGGTTATGGTGGTGGTGGGGACATTGATGGTGAGGGTGATGGTGATTGCGGTGCTGATGATGTTGGTGATCATGGTTGTGTCTATGATGAGAATGTCGTCTATGCTGCTGACGGTGATGATTACGATGATGTATTGTAATGGTGATGTTGATGCTGATGCTGATGATGCTGATGCTGATGCTGCTGATGATGATGATGCTGATGCTGATGCTGATGATGCTGGTGCTGATGATGATGCTGATGATGATGACGGTGATGATGATGTTGATGATGATGATGATGATGATGATGGTGATGGTGGTGGTGGTGGTTATGATGAGTATGAGGATGATGATGATGATGACGATGGTGGTGGTGGTGATGATGATGATGATGACGATGATGATGCTGATGATGATGATGATGATGATGATGATGATGATGATGATGATGATGAGGATGATGATGATGATGGTGGCGGTGGTGGTGGTTGTGGTGGTGGTGGTGAGATGATGATGATGAGGAGGAGGAAGAGGAGGAGGGGAGGAGGAGGAGGAGGAGGGAGTGTGGAGGATTTGGAGAAGGAGGCGGCGGAGGAGAAGGATGAGGAGGAGGAACAGAGGAGGAGGAGGAGGAGGAGAGGATGAGCAGGAGGAGGAGGAGGAGGAGGAGGAGGAGGAGGAGGAGGAGAGGAGAGAGGAGGAGGAGGAGGAGGAGGAGGAGGAGGAGGAGGAGGAGGAGGAGGAGGAGGAGGAGGAGGAGGGGGAGGAGAAAGATAAGGAGCAGTAGTTTTGGGGGCAGAACGGAGGGGGAGAGAGGAGGAGGAGAGGAAGAGATGGAGAGATTATTAAGCAGGGGGGAGGAAGAGGGGAAGTATGCAAAGAGATGGGGAAGGATGAGGGTGGCGGGGGATGGGAGGACGGTCGGAGATTGGAGAGTCGGAGGACGAGGGAAGAGAGGATAGAGTATGGAGAATGAGGGAAGAGGGGTTGGAGGACTCCCGCTGTCGCCCCTGGCGGCAAGGGAGATTGATAGTATTGGAGGGAGGAGAGGGGGAGGAAGATGGGGAGGGCCAGGAGTGGGCGGCGGCGGAGGAACGTCAAGTGCTCCGGAGCGGAGGGAGGAGGTGGAGGCGAAGGGGGCGGAGGCGGAGGAGGCGAAGGCGGAGGAGGCTGAGGCGGAGGCGGAGGAGGCGGAGGAGGAGGAGAGGCGGAGGAACCGAGGCACAGGGGGCGGAGTCTGACGCCACGAAGCTCGTGCGTGCGCTCCCTTGCCTGCGCAGGAAAGGGCGGATGAGGTGGACGAGTCAGTGTGGATGGGGTTCAGAAGGAGGAGGAGGAGGCGGAGGAGGAGGAGGAGGAGGGGGAGGAGGAGGAGGAGGAGGAGGAGGAGGAGGAGGAGGAGGAGGAGGAGGAGGGGGGAGGGACCATCTTGGGGGCAGGACGGAGCAGGTGTCTCCCTCAGGGCTTGGGAGCTATCATCCAACCGACTTGAGGGGTTTGAGCCAGACAGCTCGAGGTACATCTACATAAGCCGATGCAGATCCAGATAGATCGAGGCTAGTCCAGCAACGATGTCCAGACAAGACATCGGGGAAGCTCTGGAGCGAGTCGAGAAACGGCCGAAGTCGTTAAGCCCTTATCAACCTTCCAGGGCCCATTCCGACCCGATCGGGCAGATTCGGTAACAGTTCCTTTGGCTTGATCCGATGTAATTCTTATCTTCAAGTGGCTTGCACCATTTCGCTGACCCCCAGCAAGGCCCTGTTGGAGCTGGGGTGGCTTGGTGTTTGTGTTTACGGCCGCGAGGGGGCAGCACAAGGAGGAGGAGGAGGAGGAGGAGGAGGAGGAGGGAGGAGAAGGAGGAGGAGGAGGAGGAGGAGGATGAGGAGGAGGAGGAGGAGGAAGAGGAGGGGAGGAGGAGGAGGAGGAGGAGGTGGGGAGGAGGAGGGCGGACGGAGGGAGGAATTACTTTCGGGGTGCAAGGGCGGCTGTTGGGTATTTTGCTGGGGCTGCTTCAGGGCTCCTGGGAGGCCCTGGAGGCCTCCGCTGGAGGCTCAGGCGAGTCGGTCTTTTGGAACGATTCTCAGACGGCTTTTGGGAGGCAATTGGTCGGTTCTGGGGGCCTTTCAGGGGACTTGGGGGCCTCCTGGGTGCCACTGGGGGGCGTCTCGGTGTCTCTGGGAAGCTTTGGGGGCCATGACTGGGGCAAAGGCTCGAGATGGCAGTTCGTATTGCTCCTCGTGGGCCTTTCTTCAAGCCCTCGTGGGCCGCCTTAGGGGCCCATGGAACTCTCTTGGGGCCCTCTTCGGCTTTTTTGGGGCTGTATTGGGCCGTCTCCGGGTCCTTTCGGGGGCCTCATCTTGGGATGATCTTCGGGGCCCCTTGAGCCGCATTGGACGCAAACATGAGGAACCGTACGGATATGTCGAACATGTATATCATGTCTTCACGTGACGATGTTGCGTCTTGTGGCCCTCGGCGGTCCTCTGGAAGCACTCTTGGGCCATCCTGGGGGGCTCGTGTGCTGTCTTGATGCCTTCTTCGACCGTCGCGGTGTTACTCTGGGACTCCTCGACGCTTTCTTGGACTGTTTCGTCGCTCTGCTTGGGCCGTGTTGGTGCTCTCTGGAGGCTCCGTAGAGCCCTCGGGGTGCGTTGGGGTGCGTTGACGAGCTCGTACCCCCCCCGCCCCGAAAGCGGGATTCTGGGTTCTTGGGGAGAGAGAAAGGGGGAAAGGCGGGGCAGCCAAGTATCTCACACGCCTTGCTACCCCCAGCAAGTGGACCGATCTCAGGCACCCCGATCCTCTGGACTGGATCTTCAGATGCTGCTGTCGCTATCGGTACACATTAAACATATATAGCTGCCAAGAATCTCGAGATCCCGAGAAGCGTTTCTCTACTCGTTCCCAATACGCGTGCCCCGAAGCTCTCCAGAAGGTCCTTCGAAGTTCTGTCAACACTCGTGTAGTCCAAAGGGTCGGCGGATTCAAGCGATCCGGGGCGACCCGATGCCTGCATGGCGCTGCTGTGCCTCCTGGCGCGGCCGTCCCCCTTCGATTCCGCCTCCGTGCCGACGCGGCCGATCCGACGCACGTTCTGATTCGATCAGACTGCCGATTTGGTATGCAAATTGGTTCGGAGGTTGATAGACCTTCCCTCCTGACACGTCGATTAGCGAATTGGCCGTTTTCGGTTCGCGAGAGGGCGTCGCGGCCGTCATTTTTGCGGGTCCAGGTCCGTCGGTTTCGGTCCCAGGCCGTTCTCTTTAAGAGGAGATTTGCTAAAGGGAGGTTCGTCCACCGCCGATGCTCTACTTTCTGTCGACGAAGAATCCGTGTACGTACATAACAGTAATCAGTCGTAGCGTCGCTCGGGATTCCTTGGATCATCGCTGCACCTCCCTGGCGGCGCCTCCGGCGCCGCCCCTGGCGCGCTCCGCGCGCCAGAGAGGGGTGCGTAGCCCCGATCCAAGGAATTCGCGCGGACACCCATCAGGAGCTGACTACGATAGGACCATTTTCTACCACTTTTACCACAGGTGGGAGGGGGAGGGAGGAGGAGGAGGAGGAGGAGGAGGAGGAGGAGGAGCAGAAGGAGGAGGAGGACCTCATCCTCTTTTCTCCCCATCCTACATATGTTAGTGGTGGTGGAACACTTGCCCATCAGCTGACTAGCACCTCTACCTATGCGGAGACACCCAGATTCCTTGGGGTATCCCACGTGGTATTGTGTGGGAGCCCTGGGCGTGTGCTGTCGCATAGGGACTCCCACATGCTGCCCGTGTTCCTCCTCTCCTCCTCCTCCTCCTCCTCCTCCTCCTCCTCCTCCTCCTCCTCCTCCTCCTCTTCCTCCTCCTCCTCCTCGTCCTCCTCCTCCTCCTCCTCCTCCAGCACACGCGCACGAGAACTGCATGCCCCGAGCGTGCTCCGCCGCCTGCGGCTTCCTCTGCCCCCGCCGCGCCCCGGCCGCTCCCGCCGTGCCGCGTTTGGCCCCCCGCAGGGTCCCTCGGCTGCCCGCACCGCGTCTCGGTTCCCCATCGCCGCGACAGCAAAAATGTTGGCTTGGGGTCGCCGCTCGAAGGGTGATGGGCTTGTTTTCCACCGCCACCACCACCATAAGTTGGAGGGGGGAAGGAGGTGGAGGAGGAGGAGGAGGAGGAGGAGGAGGAGGAGGAGGAGGACCCCCTCTCCCTCCTACTCATGACGGTGGTGGCGGAAAGCAAGCCCACCAAAGGGGACCCCCCCCCCCTCCGGGGTCCAACGGTGCGGCGCCCGTGCCTCCCGGGCGCCATCGGAGGCAGCAGGCGCGAGGCAGCACCGTGGGCATGCGGGCGTGTTGCCCGCTCACCGCGCCGAGCGTCCCTGCGCTGCTCCTGCTGCTTCTGGCCGAGGCCCTTGGCGGCCTGGCAGGGGACCATAAACCTGGGAGTCCGAGGTGGCCCAGCCCTGGTGCCGGCGAGCAGGCATGGGGGGCGAGGTTAGGTTCGAGGGTGTGGGTCCGGGAGAGGTGTTTGCTATATGCCTTTCTCTGCCTCTGGGGGCGTTTTTTTATCTCCCTGAACAGTCAGAAGCGGCTCTGGGGTGACAGGCTGCACAAGATGGACCGGTTTTGAGCGGATTTGGGTTCATCCCTCATCCTGTCCGATGCTGTGGGGTCCCGACCAGTTCAGGCCTCCTGGCCGCGTCCAACCGTAAACGGATCACAAGGAGCGTTCCTTAGGGTCATTGACCACGCTTAAGCCGCCCCTTCTTGGTCTGGTTCGGGGGTCCTCCTCCTTTCGGCGGCCAGCCTGGGGTGGAGGAAGTGAGAGGGGGCGAGACTTCTCAGGTGGCTCGGAAGTACTCCAGCCTTCTGAGAAGGTTTTGACGCCTTCCCACAAGGCAGAACATGTCTTATAAGGCAGGAGGGCTTCTGACAAGTCTCGTTTCCTTCTGAGAAGGCCTCCTCCTGCATCGTGCCTCCAGTCCATCTCCAGGGGCTGTCGGGGCTGTCTGTGCGGAACCCTACGCCTTGCCAGGTCTAGGGCCGCAGGGGGGCGTCGGACCGAGGAGGAGGAGGAGGAGGAGGAGGAAGAGGAGGAGGAGGGGGAGGAGGTATAGGGGAGGAGGAGGAGGAGGAGGGAGGAGGAGGAGGAGGAGGAGGAGGAGGAGGAGGAGGGGCAGGAGGAGGGGCAGGAGGAGGGGCAGGAGCAGGAGGACGGCGATGAGGACGAGGAGGAAGAGGATGGTGAGGAGGACGAGGAAGCCTCCCCCCTCGCTCGCCGCCGATGCGTTCCCTGGGCAAAGCCGAGGCCCGTGATGCTCCAGTGCCTGCCGCCGGGGATGCAGCTACTCTTCCTGCAGCCCAAGCACCCTCTCGCGGGCCTGCGCGAGGCCCGGGGGCTCTCTGGCCGCCGGGCTGCTGCTTCTTTTCTTTTCCTCCTCCTCCCTCCTCATCTCTCCTCCTCTTCCTCCTCCTCCTCCTCCTCCTCCTTGTCCTCCGCCTCCGCCTCTGCCTCCTCCTCCTCATCCCTCCTCCTCCTCCTCCTCCGCCTCCACCTCCTTCTCCTTCCTCCTCCTCCTCCTTCTCCTCCTCCTCCTCCTCCACCTCCTCCCTCCTGCTTCCTCCTCCACCTCCTCTTCCCTCCCGTCCTTCTACCCTCCCTCCTCCTCCTCCTCCTCCTCCTCCTCCCTCCCTCCCCCCCTCCCCCTCCCTCCTTCTCCTGACGTCCCTTGCGCGGGGGCCCTCCGCCCGCCGCCGCCGCCCCCACGACGGCAAGTACGACCAGGCCCGCCCACGCCCTCCCTTTTCGGTTGCCTCCGATTGAGTTGCTGCTGCCACGTGTGACTGTGGCTGTAATCCCCTACGTAATCCCTCAGTCCTCCTCTTGGCTTCAGACAAACTCAGACCACCGATCGTAGCGCCAGTACGGTAAACCAGAGCGGCAACGTGTAGCGACACAAATTTCGGTGTTTTGGCCCGCGAGCTGAGGCGCAGACAAGTGTGGTGAAAAGGTGGGGCCACCAGTGACAGAACAGTCGAGGACCCCGCGAGGGTGCAGAGCTATTATGCGTTCAGCTTGTGAGTAAGAAGGGGGGTCTCAACCACAATCATGACCACATCATCTAGAGAGGACGCCGAACCTGGTAGGAGACTATATACTGCGTGCGAAGCCGCGGGCGTTTGCTGGTAGTTTTGCGTCAGTAGTCCACAGTGTGAACAGTAACCGTTCCCCGACCCGATCGCCAAACTTGCCTCAAGCATAGTCGTGGCTAGTATCCCCCGTGTGCACGTCAAGCTCCTCAAACACATTTCAAACCTGGATCGGTCAGAATGGGTAATCCTGGTGTGATGGAACAGGATTGTTGGCCATATCACCATTGTTCTGTAAAAGTGTTCTGGATGATCTGTGGCAGGCTGATTTTGAAAACGTCCAGCTGGTCTCAGTGGGCAACTGAAGAAATGTGTGAGCTGCAGAGATTGCTGTCGGTCTTGCCGCTGCCCGACCCTCCTCCACTACTCCATGGTCAATCCTCCCCATACCCTGAGTCAGAAGCTCGCATATGAGTTTTAGGCGTGTGCCACAGCTGGTATGGGGGTCAAGGAGGAAAAAGGAGAGCGGGGATTCAATAGTAAGCTCATCCCGACGGGAGCACCGCGTAGCCTCGAACGAGGCTCTTCAAAGGATGGGACGATTGCTGGCTCAGACAAAACCGGATATGAAGACGAGGTGCTGAGGCATGCGTGGTGGGGAGACCACCAAGTGTTGGCTACTGGGTGCGGCTGTCCATGCTGTCACTACGGATGTGTGTAGGCAGTCGCGCAGCAGTGGTTGATTAAGTCGACGAGGTGATGGTGGTAATGAGGATCGCATTCCTGCACACACAGTGAGCGGCTTGAATAAGGAGCACTGACTTTTCAAAAGGGGCTCGGCCGTTCCTCAGGCTTGCATGCGTTAGGAGTCGTTCCGTATGCGTTTATGTATTGTATATCGTCCGTTGTGCGTTACCCGTTGGAAAAAAAGGGGCGTCGTTCCTCACTCGTCGATCCTTAGGTCGGGGCGGCGACTGTAGAATATTCAGGGCGAGGCAGCCAGTCCTGCACCTCGGAGCGGGCTCCGCCCTGACTCCGCCCTGGTTTGCCCTCCCCTCGTTTGGGAGCATCCTTGAGCCCCATCCCAAGCACTGTCAAAACTGTGAATAGGTTACTGGGCGAATGGGAACCCACGGTGAGTGCACTACTGGGCGATGTGCTGTTGTCGCTGTGATGCAGGCTGGCGTGGGCGTGCGGGTGGAGGGAGCGCCAGGGTCCCAACTGGCCCCGAGCTCAGCCTGATAGAGGGGTTGATGAACGTGACTATGATTGCACGGGCTTATGATGGTGTAAAAGATGAGCAGCCATTTCGGACGTGTCCCTCTTGAGCCGTCTCGGGTGGGTCTCGGGTGGGCCGTCTTAGAGCGTCGGAAGCTCGAAAGGGGGAGAACCCGTACAAGATTCAACATGCTAAGGATAGTGCATGGTTTGTGCCCCTGGTGGGGGGGCCTCTTTTCGCCCCCTTGGGGCCTCCTGAGCCCTCTTGGGGCGGATGGCTCTAGTTTTCGTTTCGTGTGCACCCTCCAGGGCCCTTCGGGGGGCCGTCTTGAGTCTTGGGGCCTTCTTAGGAATTTTGTAGCGCTTCTCGGGCCGTCTTGGCGCCCTCTTGGGCCGTCCCGGGGCCCTCCTGAAGGCCTCTTTTGGGCAGTCTTGTGGCAGTCCTTGTGGCCTCTTGGGTCGTCTCGGGACGCTGGAAGCTCGAAAAGGCGAGAACCCGAGAAACATCGAACATCCTAAGGAACATCGCGGAAGTTTGTTTCTCGAGGCCTTCTCAGGAATGCCCTTGGGGCTCTCTCAGGACGCCATGTTGGGCCGTCTTGAGGCAAGCGTTGCCCGTCTTGGAGCGAGATGGGACCGTCTTGGAGGCATCTGGGCCTCGGGAGCGCCAATCGGCTGTCTTTTGCGAGGGTTATTGGCCTCGGGAAGAGCGGCATTGCGCGCGGCGAAGTGCGGCTGGGAGAGGGGGGAGGGGCCGGAGAGAACTACGGGATGTTGAACTCGTTGGCGTAGTTAATCTTTTGAATGTCAAGAGCGTTTCGCCGGAGACGTGCGAGATGCACAAACAGTTGGAGACTCATATCGCTTTTGGATGACCTCAAAGATGGCCCAAACATCGAATTCATTGAAAAGGCATGGGCTTTGGACACGTCTGTTTACGCGTAAGTGTTTCGTTCGAGACGTTCTCTCACAAAAGCCTTCGGACGGGTCCTCGAAATCATCAGATCATGTTGGGAATGTCGGTCATGACGATGATGATGATGTTGTTGTTGTTGTTGTTGATGGTGTTGATGATGATAATGATGATGCTCATGATGAGGATGATGATGATGATGCTCACGATGATGATGACAATGATAATGCTGGTGGTGATGCTGGTGATGACGATGAATATGATGGTGATACTGATGATGGTGATGATGATGCTGATTTTGCCGATGATGATGATGTTGATGCTGATGACGATGGTGATGATGATGATTATGACGATACGCATGCTGATGATGCTGATGGTAATACTGATGCTGGTTGTGCTTATGATGATTATGCCGATGATGATGCGGGTGACCATGATGAGGGTGAGGATGAGACTGATGTCGAGGATGAGGATTAGGATTCGGATTGGGATTATGATGATGATACTGATGCTTCTGATTATGATGAGGATGCCGCTGATGATGATGCTGCTAATGACGATGGCGACGGTGATTCTGATTATACTGGTACCGCTGAGGTTGCGAGGCCGATGATTATGATGATGATGCTCTTGATGCGATGGTTATTATGATGGTGATGGTGACGACGACGGCATTGCTTGTTATGCTGTTGATGCTGGTGATGATGGTGACGATCATGTGATGGGGTGCTGGTGAAGGAGACGATTACCTCTGTAAAGATGATGCTGGAAGTGAGGGGGAGACGGGGGAAACTGGAGGTGCACAGAGTAGCGATCGGATATAAAGACGCATGTTTGTGAACGTTCGGGGAGCGCGTGTCCATATATATATATATATATATATATATATGCCCTGTGGATGTTCGGAGAGCTCGCCCACATTACAGTTGATCGTGATGAGGTTGCGCGTTCTTGCGCATCTCCTCGCTTTCACGCACTTCCCGCCCATGTCATGAACCTATTCTGGAGAATGATAACCAGCTCTTGAAAGGACTCCGAACCAGCATCATTCTTGGAATCGCCCCTGGAGGGCTTCAAAATGATTCAAGAGAGTTCCCGAAAGCCCCCCCAGAGGACGCCCAAAGCGCCCCGAGGGGCCCCCAAGAGGCACCCAGAGGCTCCCAGCGCCCGAAGAGGCCCCACGACGGCCCAAGAGGGCCCCTGGACGGCCCAAGACAGCCCAAGGCGGCCCCAAAGAACCCTGAGACATGCCCAGACAGCCCAAGAAGACCCGCAGTAGCCCCAAAGAGGACCCCGACAGGCCCCCAGAAGGTCCCCAGGAGGATAGCCCCACACGGCCCCAACAGCCCCCAGGGTAGCCTCAAAGATCACCAGGACCCCTCCCGTCTTCGACGTCCTTTTCGTCGGTCTCCTTACCGTCCCTCGTCGTCGTCGTCTTCGTCGCTCTTCTTCTTCTTCTTCTTCTTCCCATCCTCCTCCTCCTCCTCCTCGACTTCGTGCCTCCTCGTACCTGTCCTTCTCCATCTTTTAATCCTCCTCATCGGGCTTGTTTCCCTACTCGATGTCCTTCTGCTCCCCTCGCTGCCCTCCCCGTCATCCAGGCTGCCATCCTCGACATCCGCCGCCTTGTCGTCGCTATGATTTTTATCTCTTTTCCCCCCACGAGCCCACTGGACATAACAGGTGCCTCCCGTTATTGTCCTGATATGTGCATGCGGAGGTTGGGGGGTGAGGGTGGTAATAGTGATGGGAGTGATGTCTGCGTTTCTGGCTGTTGGACTCGTACGGTTGGTTAGTTGGTTTTTGGTGTTGAGGTTGTGAATCAGTTGCAGTCGTGCTAGCTGATGGTTGGTCGTTAGTCTTGTGCTCGTGGTGGTCAGTGTTGTCGCGGGTGGAGCTGCTGGTGTTTCTAGTGTTGTTGATTGGGTCATCATGTTGGCAGATCCTCTGGTTGAGCACTGCTGCCGTGGGTAGGTTGTCTGGCCAGTTAAGACTTAGAGTACTGAAAAGCGATTGTGAGACGTATGCGTCTGCGTTTGCGTGGCTGCCGGTCAGGGTAGTTGTCTCGGGGTCGTTGGTCATGATGTGGATGTACTGATGGATGATTGGTAATTTGAGCCGGCAGTTCAGGTCTGGTTGCCGCTCCAGTAATGCCAAGCCACCTGG